TCCAGTAGAGAGAAACCTTGGAGGTGGACCAACTTCCTTGGCTCATGAATGCATCTGTCTTCTAACAGAGGCAGTAGGCTGTTTCCAGGCAGTTAAATGGTTACCACGAGGAGAGACAGAGCCCCGGAAGTAGCAAGGCTCTGACTGCATCATCCCCACGTCCCAAGGGGTGATGACAAGAGAAACAGTCGGTTGTTAGGTTCCAACACTCAGCCAGGGCCTGGAGTGTCTCCAAAGAAACTGGGACCTGCTCCCACCCACTGTTTAGGTCAGGTGCTGACTCAGCACGGCAGAGGCCTGTTCCAATAGCAAACTTATTCTCAGCACAAAATCACCTTACAGTACAACCAGAAAGACTTTCAAGAACTCCAAAATGGGTAATTGGCTGACAGGTGTAAGATGAAGCGAGATAAGCATAGGGGGAAAATAACTGACCAGGAATTATTCAGTGTATTATTTAGAGTGATCCTTATTCTCCAGGAACTGAGGGGCTTCTCCCGCCTCTTTACACGTGACCTTAAATGGGTCATTTAGGAAACTGTGTCTTGATGTTCTTGCTTCAGGTCTTCTGCTACCAATCACCATTACCACCACCAACAAAACTCAATCCTTTAGACCTAGCTTTCCATTTTGTACTCCAAATCTAAAGAGCTGACACCTTTTTTAGCAATAAAGGTGCTTGCCACCCAAGAATCATCACTCTAGCAGAAATTTGGTCAGAGGACAAAGAAAAAAAAAAAGTAAGCAATGGCCTATTACAACAAAGCCAGAATGTGCAAGGAGTTGTTTAAAAGTAACAGGTGGTGATGTGCACCTTGCAGACCATGCATTGTAGCCCATCTACTTAGAAATGCTGTGAGCAAAGAAAAGGGCAACAGCAAGTAGGAAAACACCATTCTTTAAGTTACAGCTTTCTATTTGCAATGTTATGTCTATGATGAAAGCAAACTGAGAGGAACCTCTGGAAATGAAATCAATCAAATATCCCTGTATAATTCTCCAGAGGAAAGGCTCAGTCTCCCTGGCTTGAGAATAGATGTCTGCACGCATGTGGAGGGGAAAGGTATTTACAGATCGTTGCTGTGATTGTGTAAGTCTTGCACCAAATGTCATGAGTGTTCAAGTTTATTTGCCAGAGGCTCCCAAATTCCCATACTGGGTTGGCAATTAGGACCGTTTGGGGAAAATGATGTGGGTTGGGTATTTGGAGTGGGCTCTGTTGCTACAGCAGGTGTGATGCAAGAGCCAAACTGCAGCTGTGAGGTGGTTGGTCCCTCACGGTGACTGCAGCATGTTTCCCTGAGCGGAATCGCTACTTCTACAAGGACAGTGGGCTTAAATAAAGGGAACTTTTAGAAAAGGTGTCTCAAAACACCAGTGAATTGTAGATTAGCATAGCTACTCACCAAGCTTGTTATAAAGCATGGAATGAAAAGATCTCGAGTTGGAGAGAAGAAAATAAAGCAAAGATCATAAAACTGTGGATTTGCAGAGCTAGAAGGGGACTTTGAATCCAGAAGAAAAAAAGCTTGGACAGACAATGGCTTGTATAAAACAAACAGATACAAATGGGCAGAGTCTAAATCGAATGTCTCCTCCACCAAACCACATTGTTTTTAAGTACCTCTGTGTAATCGCCTGGTTACTTGCTACATGGTTGGATACTATTCAGTTAAGATCTCCTAACTAGATCTGTTCTAAGACCAACTCCCACACAACTATGTGGTCATTTACTAAGCTGATTACTGAGCAATGAGAGAAAAGGAAGGAAAAGGGAGAACAGTGAACTGGGGAGGGAGTTTTAGGGAAAATCCTAAGCTGATGTTTCTTGAGTAGATTTTATCTTACTCTACCTATGGAAAATAGCTATCACCAGCTGCCATCTGGTGCCCGGGTTGGCATGCAGTGACACTTCTTCTGGGTGTAGCCAGAAATTACTACAGATCCTGAGACCATGAATCTTCTCTGACAACTAGATTAATGAAACTCTTCTGACTCTGCTTTACTTCATCTTCTTATGACCCTTGGCCCTGAAATCCTTTCTTAAAAAGCAAGTATCTCAATAATGGAAACTCCCATTTGGTCCCTTTCTTAGCTTAGAATGGGTTCAGTTGGAAAACAAGCAAAGCAAAACCAGACAGTGGGGGATGGTCCCGAGAGTTAGAGAGCAGCAAATGAGGAGAATTGCCCCCCCCCCTGGGTGTAACCACTGCACACTTTTAGTCATCAGATCTGGTGGGAACTGTTCAGGCCTGTTTCTCACAGAGAACCTGGAGAATTATTTCTGAGCATGTGCATACACATTTGGATTTATTGCTATGCTGCACGGTGGAAAATATTGCGTAGGCAAGAGCCTTGATTCTTACAAAAGTCAAAAATGATATCAAACTTTTGCTTCAGGGAGCAAAGAGAAGGGTGACATTTGCAGAAACATGGCAGGACTGCAGTCTCTGAGGACTCCATAAATAAGTTTCTCAACCTCTTGGCTCTGAAAGGGCCTCTTGTCTAGATGCACCTGAATGTGCTGTGTTTCTCCATCTCTAAGGGGAAGTAACTTTGGGTATCCTAATGATTTCCCAAGCATTTCCCTGTGACTGAATTCCTCCAAAACCCTTCTCAGCTTTCAAACGTTTAATCCAGAGACATTTTGGTACGCTTTTTTTTTTTACCCCTTTGTGACTATCCAAGCTAACTAGTGACTACAGAGGGGAAATACATGTTTGTCTTTTCTGGAGAATGGAAACTTCTGAAGACAATGAGGTCACACAGACTGTTTCTGTACTTAATAGCAGTCTGATCACTACCTAGGGTCCTAAAGTTCCCCACAGGCTTTTACTAGGCACTGGTGTGCTTAGATCTAGATGGCTGCCTGAATTCTCTCCTGTACTTTGTATGGGGAAGGCCATCCTCAGAAACCTAAGGTTAAACATTACCTTCAAAGACAACCATTCTGTTCACTGATTGTATTGACTTTGTTGAGTGTTACTCAAAGGTTAAATAATGATACCACCTGCTTCTCAAGAGGAAAAGGAGGAGAAAATGAAGGATTAAATTCTACTCAGTTGGTTTTCTTCTAAATGATTTTGTTTCCTACAATGTATAAATTGAATCCATTAAAGAAATAGCATTTCCAAAGTCCTGACTTACAAACTTCCCAGGAGTTGATGTGTGTTCCAGACCTGTTCTCTCTCTCTCTCTCTCTCTCTCTCTCTCTCTCTCTCTCTCTCTAAAATCTTTTTGAGACAGTGTCTCCCTGTAGCTCCAGAGCTGGCCTGAAACTCAATATGTAGACCAGGCTGGCCTCGATCTCTCAGTGATCTGACTGCCTCTGCCTCCCGAGTGCTGGTACTAAAGTCATGTGCCACTATGCCTGGCTATACCTGTATCTATTCTTGTGTAATTTTCACTCCTGTTTTATAAAACAGTTATTCAACAAAGATAAATCAACTATTATGGGCATTTAGATGGATGATGGGCCTATTGGGATAAATATATACACATAATGACAGCTATCCCATTTAGGCTAAGCCTACTAGAATATACTCTGGATATGTTTGTTCTGTTTATGGCACATATTCTGGGCAAGGGAATTCCCAGTGGGCATGATATGAGGAATATGAACAAGGCCTTATGAAACAAGACAAAGTCCCGTGTCAACGCTACACATCCTGGATGTTTATATTAGTCCTGGATTTGATAAATTTCTCATTTTAATGTGATTTATTCAATTTCCAGATAAACGTGATTTCTTAAGTATACTATCATGAGATACCACATACAGTCTGAAACCAGGAAAACCTGCTTTGTGAAGCTGTGTATCTTGGTTCTTCTGAATACACTGTCCTCTCATATTGATCTAGGGTAACAGGACAGTTAGGGAAAAGCTGAAGGTAAACTAGGAGGATATTCAGGAAGACTCATAAGAAGACAATTCATGTCATCCTGTGATCACTCTTGAGAAACCAGTCAGTATATACAAGTACATGAGTATTTTCCACAGCAAAACCCAGCATGCTCTTGGATGCCTTGCCTAGATTCTCCTATTCACCATAGAAAAGCTCCAAGGCACCACTTACAAACAATCCAGAACAATTTCACAGCTAAACCTAAGACTGACCTTTTTGCACCATGTCTTCTGTAAAGGATGCATTTCCTGCCACTGTTTTTGGGCACGCTCTTGACCACCCTACTATCTGTCTAATGGAAATAAAAACAAATGGTATTTTAAAAATATCTGCTAGCTGAAGTGGTGGTACTAACCTGTACTCTTAGAACTGGAGAGGCAGAGCAGGAGAATTATGAGTATGAATTGAAGCTATCTAGCAAGACCCTGTCTCAAAACCAAAACCCAAACTGAAACAATAACAAAAAATTCACTTAATACTGCTCAATAGCGATCCTCATTTAAAAAAAATAATTGGGGTTTATGAGATAAAAATAACTGGAAGCTCATGTCTTCTATATGTTCCCAAGCTGTCTGATTTGGAAGAGAGAAGTCATGGGAGTAGGTAGAAAGGAAAGGGAACATCTCAGGACTCTCTCCTTGGGGATTTGGGTTCTACAACTATTCATGAGTATCTCTACAATTCTACTTGCCTCAGATGGCACCCTCACCCCCACCTATGGACCCAGATTCTATCTACTCCTTAGAGTTGAATGTGCTTTGTTTCTCAATGGTTCAAGTTCCCAGCTACCTCTAAAACTAGAAATCTTAGGAAAATACTGTGGGTTAGTCACAGAAAATAATAGTAGAGGCATTTGCAATTTCAGCTTGCACAACTAATCACTAAGGATTTGTTGGCAGCCTACCACATGTAAGGCATTGTGTTGTGCCAATTAGATTATTTCTTCTTTCAGACTTCAGAGCTCTGGAAAGGATTTCATCTGGGAAGTAGTGAAGAACCATTCTTTGTCCCCACTTGATGGTTCAAGGCTGCCTAGACTCTGTCATAAGAATGTTGCCTCTATCGAATTTTATATAGATGTTGATTTTCTGTTCCTTTCTCACTGAAGAGGAAGACTGCTTCTGTCTTGTGATAAGCTTCATGTGCTTTGATACATAAGAAAACTCTCTACATATTAGATATATACCAAGATGCCATGAAAAGAGGCATAGCCAACACAAATGCTCCCATGTGTGAGGAAGATAAAATGATCAGCCACGCAGATGGATGAGGATATAATGGAAATAATTTAGAGCTTGAAAATATCTTCTTGTTGGAAACCCAAATGAGACACTTATGGGTGAAAGAAAAAAATCAAAACATAGATCAGATCATCACATGCAAACTCACTATGCAATATGGTTGCAAATCAAACAAATAAATTTGAATATTTAGATACGGTTAAAATTTATGTTGACTATGCTCCTTTACTTTGACAAAGTATACAGCAATTATATGAAACTAACTCCTAATCCATTTTCAAATGAAACTTCCCATTTTTCACACAGAAAAAAATAGGGCAGGGCAGAGGGCCTGTGGGCTCCATAGCTGCATTTAAGAGTATGGCTCCCACTGAAACATTTAACTTAAACAATACACAAAAGATAAGTTGTCAGAGTTCCCTAAAACAGATGCTTTCAATCAACGCAGGTGCCAACTTTACAAGTTGGAGGAAAGGTGGGTCCTTCTAGAAGCTTCTAGCAGAATCTCTTGTGTGTAACAAGGCGAGCCATGAACACTTTAAGGAATAACACACACTGTGTGTGCTCTGAAGTCCCTAGAGTGAACCACACTGCTTTCATTGTGTCCTCAGGAAAAAGAGCATCCACAGTTCTGCATTGGGAGAAAGGGAAGCTGACAAGAACGTGTTTTCAATTCAAGGTGGTTTCTCCAGCAGCATCCATTCAGACAATAACACAAGTGAGCAAATTAAATGGTTATGAAGCATTATTTGGCAAAGACACAGCATGGTGCCTGTCATCATGGACTCACAGCTCCTCTAAGCCTCGGCTAATAGATTAAGTAAACACAGAAATATATGCATTTTTCCTTTTTTAAAGAAAGCTTGTTTAGAGCATCTTTTACCATAAGATACGCTGGGAAGTTTATTCAAAAATTGGCTGAGAGTCATATCCTTATTTTTCACGTTTCCAAGGCTCTTCCTCAACACTGCAGTCAGCTGACTTTCCGTTGGCTGCCAGAGTTACCTGAAAATAATTATCATCAACATCCAGCTTACAGGTCACGAACCAGCAAGAAAAACCATCCGTGCGTTATGTGGAGAAGCACTAGATCCAGGCTTATCATGTACAGCTGAAATAGTGGTTTTGAATGGTATTCCTTCGACATTAATTTTGAACCTGTTTTAGTGCTCAACAATGAATGGAGAATTAAAGCATCCATATTTGCCTAGGGGGTATTGAGGGGCTGCAGATGCAGGTGCAATTTGGGGCACAATTCTATACCATTTTTAGGGCTGTGGTGGTATCTCATTACCCAGAGACCCATCACATATTAATGTAGTTTTTAAAATGCAGTGAGTGCCACGTGCTACTCCATACAACCATAGAGGAAAAAAATAAAAAATAAAAATAAAAATAAACAACTCCAGAACTAGGCAGCTAGTTCTACCCATGCATAAAAAAGGTTCAGTTGCAGTGAGGTCAGGTGAATTTGATACATGTTCAATTTTAAAATCAGAAACCATGATATCTTTGCTTTAGAAATTAAAAGAAACAGAGAAATGTTTTAAAATGTGAGAACGTTAATAGTATAATCCAAATTATTTCAATGTAGATATTCAGTCAAATATAATTAGCAGAACATATATATTGTATTTTCCTGACTCAGAGCAAACTGAACCCTGATGCAGGAGGGAGGTTCTCCCGTCCATTTCTAAGTAGGGTTCCTAGCTTACCTTCTGTCTGTCCTCAACGTCATGTGCAAACTTAAACCCACGACTGATATTCCACATAATGGAGAGACTGGATTTATGGAAGCATTAGAATATGGAGACATGACAAATGCAGCAATGTTTGAAAGAAATCTGACCTTCTTCTTACCCAAGTGGAAGTGAAATGCATGCATCAAGAGCATACAGCATGCTAGGAACAGAGAACCAAGGGCGCTTCACAAACCATGCAATGAAAATAAAAACAAAACTATTCATTCTTTCAACTCCCATTAGCACCCTCCCGCCATTGCTTAGAAAGCCCATGCATTTAGCAACAATGGCTCCACATGCAGCTACTTAGATGAAAATTAAAAGGCTATTGCATAACTTCAAACTACAATTAACAGGCAAGATTTGTCAAACAGGGAGATCAGTGTGACGTAACAATGCTTGAAGTAGTTAAAGTTTCGACCAGAGCTGCAGCAAATTGGTTTCCCCTTTAATAAACTGTCAAGAAAGACTGGCAGGGACAGACTGCCTGAAGAAAGCTGCCTGTTCCTTGTGACCTTGAATTTGCTTAGTTGGCTGTCAGCGATCAACTATTCATCACAGTGTGGCACCTTGGGAAGAGCCAAACAGCACATGGATGTGGTGTTCGTATTTTGTTTGTAAATACAGAGGCCTGTATTTCAAAAGTAGTTAGGATAGGACTTTTCTGGCATTTGCTTTTCCTGGCTAAACTGAAGAAACCTGGGGCTACACTCCCTAACCCATTCTACCAGTCTGGTTCGGCCAAAGGGAGGGCCTTGGCAAGAAGCATTGCCATCTTTCTTGATGGGTTTTAAAAATGGGAAAGGAGTGAGACTGAGAGTTGACTGGAAGGAAGTTCAAAGGAATGAATAAATGCAACCCAGATATTCTGAAAAGGGATGGGCCACCATGCACGTAGCTCTGGCTGCCTTCTTCTGAGTGTCAACACAGGTAACTGACTTAGAGTGAGAAGGCTGAGGCTCACTCACCTTCAAAAAGCTGAACCCAATTGTCTCACTAAAAATGAAAACATCTGAAATAGTTAAGAAACCAGTACACCCAGATACATTATCTTCAGGGCCCGCTCAGTTTGAATATTGACCATCTAACTGCTGGTTAACTGGCATAGACACAGGTGATTTGTTGGGCAGCCAATTTTACGGAGACTGAGCAACTATCTCTATGAAACCACCCAAGTAAAAGGGCTATTTGACACACAGCTGGCATCAAGATGTAAGTGGGGTACAGCCAATAAACATTTATGGAGTGCCTACAACATCCCAGACACTGTTTTAGGGATTGGGACGTGATAATGATGAACTGGAACAAAGTCCCGCTCTTCATGGCTTATGTTTGTTTGTTCCATGTTTTTGGTTAAAATATATAACAAATCCTCTTGCTATTCCTTTAGAAAAGAAAAATTTAGGAAGTCTGAAATCCAAAGCTACCTCTGCCCCTCTATACCTTGTTTTAGAAAAATATTTCCTATCACATTAAGAAGCCCCCTGAGAAGTCCCCAAAGGGTCATATCACTGCCTAGGGTTCTTCTTGCACACAACTGTGAAATGAAAAACACACATGGTGATTCCATTTGGTCAGATCCCATGTTTCATTGCTTGGCAATGATTTGAATTCAAATCTTATCTCTTTTAACACATTGAACTTTTTGTCCTCACCTCCAGCTATGCCACTCAGTAAATACTTGATGAATAATCAAAACATAGGATTTCATAGGAACGGGATGAGGATACTCACTAAATCATACAAGGCACACAATAAGTACTTCATACATGTAATACAGTATAAAGCCGTTCCATGAGAATGTTGAGCCTTATTGACCAAGCTAACATTTTCATTGAGAATAAATTAGCACATTCATTTAGATGTGAAAAACACTAACTTTTTCCCCTGAAGATTCATCTGAGGTTTTAAAAATTGAAATCATTTTTGCTAAGTCAATTAATTAATTAATTAATTGTCTCCCTCCTCAATTTGTATCAGACCCCTGGCTCACCTCACATGTTCTTGACATGGGGTGGGGGGACAAGCAAAAGACTGTCTGGTTCACTACTATTCTGGACCTATGACATAGTCCAGTAAGTCAAATGGCTTTTATGTTACCCTTAGCTATCTGGCAGAAAACTATGAACCCATAACATATATATAAAATTGTAAGAAATTAAAGATTAAATGTGACCTTATCAGCAGAAGTCAGAAAGGTACCAGATACCTGTGTTGGTTGAGATGGGCCTCTGCTACTGTAAACTGTCATTTTAGCAAGCCAACCCTTCTCGAATCTGTCAGGGTTTCTCCAAGTTTGCTTTACTCTGGTCATGACACCCTCTCTTTAACAATGTCAAGTTAGTTATAATGAAGGCTAGTCAGAGTACATCAAGCTTAAAGGCTTGGCACCCCGCAGTTTGGAGGAGAACCCAGAACATCAGTGCTGCAGAAGAGGTGGAGTTTGTGATACATGGGGTTCTAAAATGATTTGTTTCTGGATAACTGTTCTGAAGGAGAGTTATCCTTGAAATTGCAACCCTATTTGGGCTACAAAATAAAAGTCATTTCACACCTTACCTCCTCATAGAAAAAAATTAAGAGAAAGATGACTGATCAAAGTTACATGTGAACATTTTTTACCAATGTCTAATATATAATAAGGAAGAATGCTCATGCTGTATAAATTCAATGATATTTGATTTACATTTTTCTTGATGTTTCCTTTGAGTAAGAGAATATCTGAAGGTCATTAAAGTTCTAACAATCACAAATTCTTGAGCCAAAGAGTCAAGAAAAATGTCCAAATTAGTGGAGTGGGGTGGATGTAGGAATTGGTTCAAACAAGCAACTGATTGGCTCTTTTGGCACTAGGCTTGTTGATTTCCCACCATGCTACACACAGAGTAAGATGATCTGGGTCTCACAGAAGCTTGGGTTATATGATTCCTTATAAAAACATGGTAAGAACAGATGCAGGGCTTTGTGTTTGTTTTTAAGAAAGCCAGCATGCACTACTATATGCAGGTCTCAATATCCAGGAATGGGAAAGGTACCTTGCACTCATCTACTATGACAGAGTTGTGTGCAGCATAGACACACTGATTAGAGTTGCTCTCCCTATGGTTCTTCATGTCATCGTAAATGGATTGAGTCTTGGTCATTTCAATGTCTTCATGCATTCGGTGTTGGGAGTCAATGCTATCCAGCTCAGACTTGGAGAGGTGATAGACAATCCCAGCTCCAAAAGAGTCGCCCACGACATTGACTGAAGTTCTCATTCTGTCCCTGGTGATGAAAAACAGATTAAATTTAGTGAGTAAGCATTATGGTACAGTGGTTGGCAGGACAAGGTGTAGGAAGAGAGAGACTGGGGCTTGGTTCTGTTTCTGCCTTTTCCCACTATATGGCTTGGGGCAAGACATTTAAGCTTTATGAACCTTCATTCCCCTGCTCGTGAATTATAGATACAATCATACTTCTCTCACTAGTTTGGATGCACTTTAAATGAGATTGTAGATAAAATGCTTAGCAACATACCTGATGGATGGCACAAAGCAACAAACAATAACAAAGAAAGAATAAAAGGAGGAAGAAGGAAAGAATTAGAGAGAAATATGTCTACATATCAAAATTAGTACCCAGGCTTCAGACACACTTAATGGTGCCCAACAACTTCCCCTGATTTAAAATGTCCTTTAAAGGCAGAAGGAATTAGTTGGTAAAGTACCTGCCTTGGGAACTCAAGGACCTGAATTTGATCAGTAGAATCTGTGTGGGAAAAAAAATCTAAATCTGGTGGCATGCATTGGTAATCCCAGCACTGAGAAGGCAGAAACAGGCAGATTCATGGGGCTGGATGGGCAGCCTGTTTGCCTGATGGCCAGCCTACTTGGTGAGTTCCAGGTCAATGAAAGACCCTGGTTCCAAAAAATGTTGGTTTGTTTCGTAAAGGTAGACAGCACCTGACGAATGACCTGAGGCTCTCCCCTGACTTTCACATGCATGCACGTGCATATGAACCACCCCTCATGTCCTCATGTCCATGCCCCTACATACACAAACAAACACTTTTAAAGTCTCCATATTACCTCAGTTTATTCTATTTATTAGTCCTACTTGAAAGGGCTGATGAACTGTAAGTACTCTTATAATTAAAAAAATATATCTTTTTATAAGGATGTAAACTATCCCAGCCTTTCCCTCTAGTACCTCAACTACAGACACAGCTGTTGGGTAAGAAACATAGCCACAGTAAGACCATGTGTCCTGAAAAGATCGAAATACTTTATCTTGTTTTCTCCACAAGAATTAAATCTTTGAGAGTATTTCTGGAACCAAAGAATAGTAAAAATATCCTCCCTCAAGTTTTGCATTGCAAGTTCTGACTCGACGACAACAACAAAAAATGGTTGATAACAAGTCCTCTTAGACAACCAGCATCAGGAAAGCTCATTAAGTTCTTAAGGGTAATTGTGTTCTCTCACTCATTAAGTACAAGGCAAATTGGTGTGAGGAATCCTGTGGCCACATTTATTACAACATTCACGGTCCCATGGAAAAAGGTACTGGGAAGCCACTACAGAAGTAAGGAACGAAGTAAATGTGAAACATAAAAGAACAGAGACAAGGTAAAGATATCGCCAAGATACCCTTAGTTAAGAACACTCTCATCTTTCACTCAAGTTATGAGTCCCATAATTAAGTTACAAGTGGAGTGGAAATCTTAATTTTTAAATTAGAACAAAGACCTAAAGTAAATCGCAGTTGCTGTGATGCAATCTAGTTCTCGTTAAGAAATAACAAGGCTGTACTAGAAGGGGTCTGGCTTGGCTTCCCTACAAGTCCTTTTGTCCTTCTGATTTTAACCAGCAGATGCTGCCCAAGGTGGGAGTTGGGGGCAATGATCAGAGCAGAACTTGAACTCTCAAGCTGTGTCTCTGTCTTAGAATGCTCTGGCCCCTTTTCTGCTCTGGAGAACCTACCTGTGGGTGGTAAAATTTGTACACGAGTGAAGATGACGCTTGAGGACCACCAAGTCCTAGAAGAGGACTGCTAAGAATCCCCAGCATGAGTGCATGATGGGAGATAAGAAGAATCATAAAGACTGTTACAGAGCAGCAAGATGTTCCCCTGCACAGCAGGTCACTGTACAGAACAATGCACTGTGTATTTCAAATTGCTAAAGAAAGGGAATTGAAAGTTTTAATGACAAAGAAATGATACTTGAGAAGACAGGCATGTTTAACAAATATTATGCCATACATATATGTATCAAACATTACATAATACCCCTCCAACATCTATAATTGTATGTTTTCCATATCAGCTAAAAATGAAGGACTAAAGGATATAGCTCAGAGGTAAAAAAAAAAAAAAAAAACCACTTACCAAACACATGTAAGGCCCTAGGTTTTATCCCCAGTGCCACCAAATGTAAGTAAGTAAATAAAATAAAAAATTTAAAAGAATGTAAGAAAAAAAGAAAAAAGATGAACTCTACAGGCAGCCTGTCTTGGACGCAAATGCTAGTTTTGCCTTTTGTCTGTTGGACAGCCGTGAGCGTGATAACATTTATGAACCTTCTAAAAACTGAACTAATAAAAATAACCAGTGCATAGTATAGCATTTTATGAAGAGTAAATAACATAAAATTTTTATCACAATTTCAGACACTTAATAAAAACTCAAAAGTCACCTAATATAATGTGCACTTCTGATACTACTGTAAATTTTATCGAGTCAATTTGAATGCACTTTGGCAGCTCCGAAGTACCACATCCAAACTCGCCTGGTTAAGCTACGCTCTTCCGCTGAAAATATTAACCGTATTTTTACAGCAGCTCCTGTAACGGGTGTGGTAGACAATGCCAATTAGAGACAAAGGGAAGCATCTCTTGGTTTCAGTAACAAAGAAGCTATTGATCCACCAAGGACAGTTTACATACAGAGGCAAGGGCAGAAGTCAGCTCCTGTAGGTAAAATCCATGAGAGGCAGTGGAGACACTATGTATGCATGATCAGCTTTTTCAAAAAGATTCAGAAAGCAAAAGGAATGGGTGATGAGAGAGTTGGAAGATGTAGAGAAGGGTTTTGGTTTGCTTTTATTTTAGAAGCGAATGCTGGAATTTGTTTAAACCTAAAAAGGAGCCAGTTAAGAAGGCAAAACTAAAGGTGTAGAGAAGAGAGAGTAATTTATGGAGCTGAATATCCAGGGAGATTTGAGAGGATGGGATCCAACGTGGAGAAGATGGTCTTACCTTTTGGAAGAGGGACTCTGACTACAGAAAGAAAGGGGAAAGGGCAAGTTTAAGATGGCAGGCATTAAGGGAGATCTGTCAAGCAGCAAGACGCCCATTTATATTAAACAATAATATCCAAGCCCTATCATGCCAGGTTCCTCTGCCACTATGCATCCTGAGAAAATTTCCAGGATGCCCAGCCAGCAGCTTGATCATGACTATTCTATATGTATTCCTCCCCTCCCCCTGAAAATACTGCAAAGCAAAGTAATACTTAAACCACCGGGGGAATGTCTGACTGACTCTAGGGAAGTATAGCTCTGGCCCAAAGAAGGATATGAGAATTTATGGTTCGTGTGTGGAAAGTTTTTCCAAAGGTAAACAATTTCATTTTCACTCATGGTCACCCTGGACCTCTTAGGAAACTATGCTTTCATGCTGATCTGAGTAGTTTTTAGTCTGGGGGTGGGGGTGGGAGCAGGAAGAGGTACAGGAGGAGAGGGAAGGGGAGGGGAGGAAAGAGGAGGGAGGGAAAGAATGAAAAAGAGATTAGATCTGTCAGTGGTACTTGGCGATTCTGTGTGTCAAGACTATAAGAAAGTAACAGAGATGGGAGCAGAATCTTGCATTTAATGAATTTACTACAAACAACAGCTATCCTTCCTGGACTGGCAGGAACCAAAAGCGAGAGGGGGCTGGACAGCTATTTCACATCAGTCACTAAGTCTGGTTCATTGGAAGAAAAGTACTTGCCAAGGTACTCCACTCTCTTATTTCTCTTGTCAGAATCCTCTGGCAGAGAGGTATGGGACTGTCTGGAAGTCTGAGTTCTCACAGAGAAACAGAGCTGGTTTGCTCACAATTCATCTGGTTCCTTGTATTATGTGGAATCACATGGAATGACAATTTATGTAAATGTGAAAGCACTAAAGACTGGAAGTATCCTATGATTCGACTTAGTATAAAGTATAGTGTCAGCTCTTAGAAGGCGGGGTGCTGAGGGACTGTCTTTAGGGGTTCAGTGTGGCAGCAGGGCTGCTGAGAGGTCTCAGACCTGGGGTAAGCTGGCATTGGAGGGCTAGAATCACAGGGGGTAAAGGAAGGGGGGATACCAAACTGACCATTGGTTAAGAGTGAGAGTGTTGACTTTCAGACTGGATTGCTACTAGTTCTAATAAAAAGGATGTGTGTGTGTGTGTGTGTGTGTGTGTGTGTGTGTGTGTGTGTTCAGAGTGTAGTGTTATTAGTTCTAATAAAGGATGTGTGTGTGTGTGTGTGTGTGTGTGTGTGTGTGTGTGTGTGTGTGTGATGCCTGGATGTGTGTAAATTCACCTGTGTCGTGCAGTGCCCACAGAGGACAGAAAAGGGTGCTGTATCTCCTAGAACTGGAGTTATGGAGTTGTTAGCCACCATGTAGGAGCTGGGATTTGAACTCCAGTCCTCTGTAAGAGCAATCAGTGCTCTTAACCACTGAGCCATCTTCCCAGACCAAGCAAGGCAAGTTATTTAGCCTGTGCAGCTTTCTCCTTTGTCAAATATGAAGCAATACCCACTTGTGGGGAAGATAATAACTGTTGACATGCCATCTGAAAGGCTTTCCACAAAACTCTCTGTATATGAAAGACTGATTCAAAATGAGTGCCGGGCCAGTAACTGCTCGTGGTATTGCTGTTTTTAGTCCCAATGGTGAGTTCACCTCTTCTTTGATTCCCCCACCGAATGCATTATTGTCCTCTGTTAGCACCTGTCACATTGTTGGGATTTTTTTTTCTTTTTTTTTCCTGTCTTTTTGAAATAGGGTCTCTCTGTAGACCCAGCTGGCCTGGAACTCACTATGTAGACCAGTAGATCAGGCTGGCCTTGAACTCACAGAGATCCTCCTGCCTCTACCTCCCAAGTGCTGGGACTACAGGCGTGTGCCACCATGCCTGGCAATTGTTGGGATTTCTTGACTACACCATCTCAGTTTTATTTTTTAACTTCTGTACTAGACTATAAGCTCTTTGGATGCTAAGACCATATTTTATAGTCTCCAGTATCTGTGGA